GTCCGACCATGTGTTATCCTGATGACACGTGTGGTCAATGCTACACTCAGCTATCCTCCGTAATACGGTCTGTGGCGAGGAGCGACCGACTATTTCTTCTGGGTGATTTCAACGCGCGCGTTGGGCATGATGAATCGGTGTGGACAGATGTCATCGGTTCGCATGGCATTGGTTCAGCGAATGCGAACGGTGATAGGCTGCTCTCGCTGTGTGCAACTCACGGCCTGACGATCACGAACACTCGGTTTGCACTGAGTGCGAGTGATATAGCAACTTGGACGCACCCATGGAGTGGTCACGCTCAACTGCTCGACTATGTCATCGTACGTCAGCGTGATATGCGTGAAGTGCGCATGACACGTATACTGCGTGTAGCTGAGTGTGGCACTGATCACAAATTGGTTCAGACCAAACTGTACAAATGATTTTGTGAATCTATCTATTGCACCCCGCCATGAATCGGCGTAAATTTAACATTCTTTCCCTCGGTACTGTGGCGAAACGTTTTGAGCTAGAGAAGGCGGTGGCCGTACGCCTGTATGATGTGGAAGGCATAGCCAAGTGGGCGACCTATGGCACCACATTCGCGACCAGGTGACAGCTGCTGCCATGGAGAGCATCAGGTGCGCAAAACGCAAGCGTCATCATTGGTTTGATGTGAACAATGCGACGATTGGCACATTGGTGTCGGAGAAGAATGCAGCATTTGCTGCACATGTGGCAGACCCCAGTGACTTGGGGAAAAAGAGTCAGTTTCGCAAACTTCGACGGCGATTGACCTGAGAGATCCCTCGCATTAAAATGTATGGTGGACGGAGAAGGCGAAGCAGATGGAATGCTATGCCGAACGCCGCCAACACAAAGAATTCTTGGGCTCCTTGGAGGCGGAGTATGGACTGAGATTGGAGCCGCTGAGGACACTGATCGATGGTAATTCAGGCGCTACCTGCACACAGACTACAGATCTGATAAATACATTTTGTCTGTCTCTTGAACAACCGTTCAGAGATCGACTGGCCTACTTTGAACGGCCTGAAGCAGCACGATGTGAAAGCGAGTCAGGCGGATACGCCAACACTGGGTGAGACGCAGAGAGCACTTGATCAGCTGCGAAAGGGCAAGTATGCCGGTGCCCACGGGATCTCGCCTGAAGTATTGAAACACGGCGGACCTAGGTTGGTGACTGCGCTGCACCACTTGATGCAACGCGTATGAACTGAGGAGGAGGTGCCTCCTGAACTGAAGGATGCCCTTGTGCTACCACTGTACAAAAGCAAAGGTAGCAAGCATTGTTGCACGAATTATCGTGGCATCAACTTGCTGAGTTGTGTGGGCAAGGTGATTGCCCGAATCCTGCTCAACGGCCTCGTCAGTCAGGTTGTGGAACGGAACTTGGCGGATTCCGTTTGCGTCTCAGCATTATAGATATGCTGTCTGCGGCTCGCCAGTTGCAGAAGTGCAGAGAACGAAACCAGTCGTTGTACTCGCAGTTACTTGATTTCAGCAAGGCACTTGATACGATGAAACGCGAGGCATTGTGGCTGGTGTTGGGTTAGTTTGATTGCCCGCGTAAGTTTGTAAGGTTAATTGAATGTCCGCACAGTGGCATGCAGGCGAGGGTGCAGCTGAGTGGAGAGACCTCGGATGACTTTACAGTTGTCTCTGGTGTGAAGCAAGGCTGTGTCTTAGCTTCTGCACTGTTTAATATTTATTTTCATGCAATGATGTATTGTGCTTTTGATGCGGCTTGTGCTTAAGGTGTTCGTGTGAAGCACCGTATTGATGGTGAGTTGCTGGACATCCATTGTTTCGGTGCGAGAACCCTAGGCTGTGAGACAATTATCTGTAGGTTGCTGTTTTCTGACGACTGCATTGTTTACACACAGCGCGGATGAGTCGCAGCACATGACTAGTGCTCTGGCTTCGACAGCGGCCAAATTCGGGCTCACCATCAACACAATCAAAACTGTCTGTCTCTTTCAGCCTTCACCGGAGGTGCAATCTTCAATATTGCCGAAAATCAGCATCGGTGCTGAAGTATTGGAAACCACCTATCGCTTCTGCTACCTTTGGAGTGTCATGTCGACTGATCAGCAGTTTCACAGTGAGCTTCGTGGTCGCGTCTCTAAGGCAGCGGCAGGATTCGGGAAGATTGAGTACCGAGTGTGGAACAACTATCAGCTTAGCGTTGGCACGAAGCTGATGGTGTACAAATCCATGGTGCTGTCCGTTCTTCTATACGGCAGCGAAGCGTGGACGATGTACCGGCGAGGTGAGATATCTCGAGCGGTTCCATCAACAGTGTTTGCGACGAATTTGGTGCATCGGTTGGTGCGACAGAGTTGCTAACACGTAAGTGTTGTGCCGAAGTAGAATGTATGCAATCGACTGCATACTTTTGCTGAGACACCTGAGGTATCTCGGTCATGTGAGCCGTATGGATTCGACGCGGATACCGAAACAACTATTATGCCGTTAGCTGAATATTGGGAAGCGGCATTTGGGGAAACGGAGGTTACGTTACCATGACATGATCAACGTGAGCCTCTCAGGTTCTAATCGTGATTTCAGGTCATGGGAATCGAAAGCGGTTGATCGGCATGCATGGCGCCATCTGATCACGAAGGCCGTTGCCAAGGTGCAAGAGAAATCCCTCGTGCATGCAGAGAAGAAGCGGAAATTAAAGAAGCGACCGGTGCCGATGGGTTGTACTCCATCGACAGCGAGGGCGTGGTGCTGTAGCATATGACGTCGCGAGTGCCTGAGTCAGGCAGGCCTAGTGAGCCATGAGCGAGGCCACTCGGGGCCACCACCGAAGCGACGACGGGTCCTGCAGAGAACGTAGGCAGAACCGGCGCAACGTTTGTAGGCATGGTGCATGCGATTTACTAACCGCGTGCTTGAATGCTGTCTCTTTTTTAGGTGCTGGATTGGCTATATTGTCCTAAAGCATTTTTATCTCATGTTAACGTCTACCGAAAGTGACTTTAAGAATGTGCGCGACGTGAGCGCTAGTTTCAGGTGCCCACCTACAAAATCCCACTTAGTGCATTTTAACAGTGGAGAACATATATTTAGTTTTATGAACCTCCATTGAATGTACTTGTTCGGAGTCCTATTGACCCTAGGTTATTCTACAACCGCCTATCCTTTTGCTTGCGTTGCATTGACGAACAAGGGTTCGAGTGTACGCTTGTCTAGCAGGTGGGTATGACAATTGAATGGGTGGCCTTCGCGCTTCCAGTGCAAGGACGCTGTTGGACAAGAGCGATGCTACGCGGAGATGATGGTCCTCGAACTGGAGAAGTCACACTTCACTAGCGACAGAAATACTCGCAGTGTAGCCGGGTCGTGTGTCATTGTCTCTATGGACTGGCAAGCGTACCCGACAACATGACTTTTGGCAGTTTCTAAGGATAATAAGATCATCGGGAAGTGCAAATCAATTAACAGCTATACGCCACTTGTTCCAGTTTGTACGAGTCGCAAACAGCTTTGGATCAATGCATAGCCCTTGAAAATGTACAGTGCACACTGGACTGGGCGTGAACGCTGGACAGAAATATACATGGTTGACAATCTTGATTCGTAGCGACCACACGAGGGCGAAGGGTGGAGGAACACAGATAAAAAGTGCAATAAAGTGTTCCGGATAAAAAACAATAAATGATTAGCTACCAGCCGACAAAGGCGAAAATTACGAAGGGTGCCGCGTAGATTATGGGCTTAAACGTAGATTTGAATAAATATGGATGAGAATTGAATAGTTAGTTCGTACATATTCCCTAGGTGATTAGAAGATCACAGTAAGGAGCCTATGATGCGCTGACTAATGGGATCGATAAAAACCCGTGTGTGATTTGATTCATTGCGAATAGAACTACCAAAATGTAAAACCAAGATAGTGCAGTGTCGACAAATGAAATTGCCTCAGAAACCAAACTAAGGGAGGACCAGGGGGACACGCTTCATGGTACCATAATGTCGAGACGTTACCGACAACTGGGTCGATTGTCAATAAGTGAATGCATGAAGCCGTAGCACAACCAGTAATCACAGTAAATGAGCACTTAACGGTGGGGAGAAGGTGCCCATAAGAAGTGCTGCTTTCTTACCGATTTCGCCGGTTCATAATGGGAACCCCGGTGCATTCACGTTTCGCCAGGTAGGTAGTCACGGTGGGTGGGTGTCGATAACTACTCACAAACTCCGTGACTGCAGACTAGAGTGAGACTCATGAATGAAACCATGCAGCTTGACAAATAGACGCCCGAAATAGATGAAGCATGTTGATGAGCAGAGGGAAATTGGGTACTCACTCAGTACACTGCACACCATGACGCGTCTACATCTTGTTTGATCTCAGCAAGTGGAGATAGCAGGCATCGAACCCGCGACCACTGGAATAGTAGCCGAAACCTCCACCCCTTTGGTTACTGGTTCAAGGCGGACAACGCTTGGCACAATGGTTAAAGATTGATGGGAGGGTCATTTTGAAGTACTTGTTGTGTGAGTGGATTGCGACGCGCAATCACAATGTAGACTGCGATTCCCAATGAAGTGATCCTACGATCCTAGTGATCGAATGACCAAGAGTCACCTCAATGGGAATCGCTACAATGCATCGCATTGTCGTTGATGAACCTTCGATGTCAAAAGAAGCCTGGCATTGGATGAGCTGCGTTCTATTACAGCAGTCGTCTGACGCGAGTTCAATTCATACCATTTACATCCCATTACTTTCACGAAATAACAAAACTTACGGAAAACTGTGAGTGCAGACTGTGCAACGGTGTGATTTCGTCAGACACTGCTGGCGATACGCAGTTAAAGGAAATGGATGAGTGGTTTGCGTATGAGCTAGCGTGCCGTGAGCATTTCGTACTACAGTCAAACCACTGTGGAAATTCAAGGATGAGACGGAGAAGCCAGAGCTATTTGCCACGTTATCTGGATTGTGCCAGAGTGGTGGAAAGTACATGCATACCCACATAGCTTACCTCATTTACTTGCGAAATTAAGCTGTTCACACGAAAAATCAGTTTATCGTAGTTCCCACGGAAGCTGGCCACCTTGAACAAACAGATGAGGGGCGAAAGAAGATTATCAGGGGTGAGCCGGAGAAGATGCGCATGTGAAAAACAAATTTAAGCGAGCAAAGTTCTAAGGTTTCATCCTAATCAAATCGCAAGCAGTAGCACTCAACGTTGCGCGCAACAACCGACAAGTCGGTGAACCTGGCAACGGGAGAGCACCGAGCCGACTATAAGTGAACGAAGAGAGCAACGGTTATGTGATCATGTGTGTGTGTGTGTGTGTGTGTGTGTATACACGTAGTATGGCACACGGTGCTAACCGTCTAGTTCGTCCGACAGCTGTCAAGCGGGTGAGACTAAACTGTCTACTGACAAACGTCAGGATGATCTCGGAAGGCAATGTAGTTGATTGGCTAGCTAGACATTCAACATTCCTAATCTAGCATGAGGGTGACGTTCGGCCGTCCATGGTGCACCACAACAAATTGGCGCAGGGTGTGGTCATATTGTGAGCAGACGGTTCCGTGGCTCAGACACACCAGTGTGTTAGTCACTGCGTCGCGATCCAACGTGGACACGAGTAAAGACGGTGCTTAGAAAGTGTCTCTTCGTCACACTGATTCATGTCCGAAATTGTCTGTCACATGGTAAGATGATTAATAATTAGGGATGGGCGAAATCAGACAGTGGGAAGCATATCGTGATAGAGAAGTACCGCAAATACGCCAAAGCGCGACTCGAGGTGGCTTTGAGCTAAACCTAAAAAGCAGAATGAGTACATTAGGGGGACGATGGGTGCTGTGTTATCATTACGCAGATTGCATGAGAGATATCAGCGAGAACCAGTAGTTCCGAAAGATAAACAAAACACGAAGCTTTAAGCGAACAATTGTTTTCGATTAATTCTTCATCAGGCTCATACAGTAATATACATTAGGTTAACGTCTGTTGCAATCGTCAGTGTAACAAAGAAACAATTGATCAGAAAATTTAACTTGTGATCATGATGGCATTCATCTGATCACATGACTGAAGTCAGGTGAATTTGCGGAGTACCATTACTTCCTTCGCGGCTGGTGGTCGGCCAGGGAAGTTGTAGTGTTTGTATTAGCTTCTTCTGAACACACAAGTCCGGATTTGTTAGGCGTATGCATACTGCCTCAGCGGTGGCGAGTAGGCTTGCTCTTACACGATGGTTTTGTCTTGGTGGTATTTTGTAGAGAATTTGAAAGGATGTTCGTTTGTCTATCTGGTGGCCTGTGTTTATTAGATGGTTTGTAATCGCACTACAGCTTGTCCTATTCTCGCGCTTGTAGAGCCAACCTGGGAGGTGTTCCTTAATTCTCTTATCTAGATGCCTGGTCGTCCGTCCAACGTACCTGGCCCCGCACGGGCAGGTGAACCGGTAGATTAACATCGATTGGAGATGATCAGGCACTCGGTCTTTGAATCTCGGAACTAGTAAAGGTCTGCTCGTGAAAATCATATTCAGCTGAGCCGCATTAAAGGTCTTTTTGCAGCTTTGCTGTAGTCGACGTGTGCATGTCTCAGCCGCACTATTTCCTTTGAATGGAAGTGTCAAGTAAAGCTGTTTCTTTTCAACGGTTTGTTTTGATACTTTTGGTATGCATCGCTTCATATGGGTCTCGATAAATCGCTCCGGATATCCATTTTCGAGAAGCGCTTCTTTGATTCGTACGAGTTCGGCTTTTATGGTATCTTCGCTGCAGATTTTATATGCCCGATCGGTTAGAGTTCGTACCAGCGTTCTTTTTTGGCTGAGTGGGGCGAAACTATGAAAGTTCATGTATTGTCCCGTCCAATATGGTTTCCTGTATACTTTTCTTTGGACTGATCCATCGGTTCTTCTGATAAGACTTGCGTCCAAAAATTCATTTGGTTGTTGTTTTCTTCCTCAGCTGTAAATGCGGCATTGGGGTGCGCATTGTTGAAACAGTCGATTATATCCTGGGGTTTGGTGGTCCGATCACTTATACAAATTATATCATCCACATAGCGCCGATAGAATTTCAGACCGGATATGACCTGTTTTAATGGACCGTTTTCTAGCATTCCCATATAAATATCCGCTAACAATGGACCAAGCGGGGAGCCCATTGCAACGCCATCAACCTGTCTATAAAACTCGCTATTGAATTGAAATTGAACGTTGTACGTACATCTGAGTATCAGTTGTTTCAGTTGGTTGCTTCGTATACCGATATTTATACCATGCTGGTCAATGTACGAGTACAGGTAGTTAACTGTTTCTACCAGAGGCACGTTGGTAAACAATGAAACAACATCTAAGGAAAACATCCAATGCTCCTGGGCATTCATATCTCGAATTTCGTTGACGAACTGGAATGTATCTGCCAGTCTGTGAGGAGCAATCATTTGTCTGATGGGATTCAGCATTTTTGTCAGCCACTGCGCAATGTTGTGGTACGGTGAATTCCTCATATCTAGTATGGGTCTCAATGGTGTGTCAGGTTTATGTATTTTTGGGAGACCATAAAGGCGAGGAGTAGTGGAGCCTATGGGACGAAGTCGGTCGTACGTTTCTTTGGTGATGGCGCCGTCGTTCACTAGTGATTTTAAACACTTGATCAATTGATTTTCTACACATTCTGTTTTATCTTTCTGTTGTTCACATTTCACGAAACGTGAAGTGTCCGAGAGTATCATTCTCATTTTCTTGATGTAATCCGCACGATCCATCAGCACAGTCCTAGGTCCTTTGTTTGGTTTGGCTATGATGAGATATTCGTTTTTCTGAAGTTCTGTCAAAGCATCAAGGGGCGCTTTTGTCAGTAGTCGACGGTGTTCTATTGGTTGTCTTTGGTATTTAAAACAAACGTTGACCAAACTTGATTTGAACTGTTCAAGTTCCATATCAGAGTTGGCCACCAAGTCGTTCGTCTGCTTGAATAGGTGTTCAAACTGTGTTTCTATTTCAACACGATTGTATTTCTTTTGCGGATGGCTAAATTTTAGACCAAGTGAAAGTGCTTGCAGCTGCAGTCTGTCTAAATGAACACTAGAAAGATTGTGCACGTATTGTTCTGGAACTGATGGAAACCTGGTTTGACACTTTGTTTCGCTTAAGTTTTTCTGCATTTTGCATCGTTTCTTGTCTACCTGTTTAGATGTTACGCCTCGCACATAAGTAAGAAAACGGATACGTTCTTCATCGCGGAGGTTATCCAGCGCGGCTTCTGTTTGGGCAATAAGTCGTTTAGTTTCCTCTAGTCTCGTTTTATCTGATTCAATAAGGTTGAGTGCGTGCCGTTTCAAAGTAGCAGCACTGGGTCGGATGTGCTGTCTCCGCAGGGCTTTCCAGAAGGATTTTGGGTAATCTCGCGTTTCGATGCAAAGCCTGTGAAATTCAATGGATGCTTCGGTTTCGGCAAATCTCACGCAGAACTTAATATACCGATTAAGTTCCTTGCGCGTTTGGGCGCATTTGCTGTGTTTCAACTCAAGTAGAATGCCCATTTGTTACGTCAAGTTTCGAAAGATAAGCAAAACACGAAGCTTTGAGCAAACAATTATGTTCAGAAGAAACTAATACAAACACTACAACTTCCCTGGCCGACCACCAGCCGTGAAGTAAGCAGTGGTACTCCGCAAATTCACCTGACCTCAGTCGAGTGATCAGATGAAGCTCATCATGATCACAAGTTAAATTTTCTGAGCAATTGTTTCTTTGTTACACTAACGACTGCAACAGACGTTAACATAATGTATATTACTGTATAAGCCAGATGAAGAAGTAATCGAAAACAATTGTTTGCTCACAGCTTCGTGTTTTGCTTATCTTTCGAAACTTGACGTAACAAATGGGCATTCTACTTTG